TAATAGTAACAACAACAACAGCAACAACAGCAATAATAATAATAATAATAATAACAACAACAACAACCACAACAACAACAACAACACAGCAGCAGTAGCAGCATTAATAATAATAATAATAATAATTTTATAAAATGTTATTGTTGTTGTTATCAGTTTACACCTACTGCCCTATTGATCTGGCAGATATAAAGAGATCATAAGGTGACTTGATCTGCTCAAAGTTTGTCCGATATTTCAGAACACGTGTGATGGTGCCAACCATTATGACAAGCTGCTATTCACGAAAGATCGATGGAAGTTTGACTTTTTCCCCCAGATACTACATTCTTAGTTCCGTCGACCTCTCAAACACATGAACAGTTTGGATCACAGAGCGAGATGCTAAAGCAATACCATAATGGGTCACTTTTAAGGACAAGCGGGCTAACCCAGATTTCGGGGCTTTCGAGAAATCTTGACCTACACCAAGAGTGGGTTTTGCCCTACCTATAGAAGAAGTTTGGTTTCATTGGTGTGTATATTTGTTTGGTTATAGAGAAAACATTCCTTGTCTTTTAAAGAAACTGAAAAAGGGGCAAAAACTTTACCTTCGATTTTCTCAAAACAGCATTTTTCGGGATAGCCCCCTTGGGCTTAAGAGCGACCAATGACGTTCCTGTACCGATCCTACAGGTCCGACTGGTCGGACGAATGCGTACCCCCACTTATAAGCAAACACCCTCTAAATCTTTCGTGTGCTGGAGAGAAACGATAGACATGTCTCTATGTTATTGAACCCCCCTCCTCTACACCCTGGACCCGACCGTTATGTACCCGCCTTATCGGACACGCTGGACGCGAGTAGTGGCCCTTCAGCCTCGCCGACACAGGGACAGAACAGTGTATCTGCTTTTCCAACAATTAGAATGTCTCTCAGATAGGACCTTTTGGCTCTAGCGCCCCCTCCGTTGGTGTATTAGCGCTAAGACGTCTCGTTCTTTACTTTATATATTATCACGGGGTAGCTGCAAAATTGTCACATCTGCAGAGATACGGAACCAGAAGTCGCGGAGCGCCAAGAAAGAAAAGAAAATGTGCAGAGATACTGTTGGTAGAAAATTAGATATTATGTATAATTTTGAAGGAAAGGAGTTCAGCAAAAATGTGAAAATAAATGAAATATAACTACAGTAGCTATTTAGGGCTTCTTGTGAAGATAATTATTGAAAATGGTGACACGGTATAGGTTTAACGCCTCTATCAACACTATTAGGTTATTTAAGAGGTGGGGCCTCCGAGTTTAACGTCCGTCTCCGAAAGGACCGAGCCAAGTGGGACATTCGTGTAAAGTGCTTTTCCCAAGGACACAACGTACAGTCGAGCTGAGGCTCGAACCCCCGAACTCACAATCTCACGATTACCACTAGGCCAACGACGCTACTTAAGATAATTATTGTAGAACCATTTAGAAATGGAAGAAACGATGTCGAAGAAAGTACATTTTGCAGATAAGATATTTTTGATTCATACCCGGGGAGGGGCACACAGGTTGGTCAATGAACTTTTGAGAGACGAAAGCACAACATAATGTATGGTACGAGTCTAACGCAACCTCTTTGGTTTTACGCCACTTTCAACACAGTTAAGTTTTTGTCATGAAAGTGGCCTACAATTTAACGCCCACATGCGGTAGAACTGATCAATGTACGCCTAAGTTCAATGAGACTTAATTCCCAGGTAAGATACGAGAGGGAGACCACATCTCAAATCCACACGAAGCATTCTTGTACATAGATTGTTTTGGCAGGTTTTAAAGCCCCCCCGCCTCCCCACAAATACTCACATTATTCTCTCTCTCTCTCTCTCTCTCTCTCTCTCTCTCTCTCTCTCTCTCTCTCT